GCCCCCGGTCTGTAATGAAGGACGTATGCTCCTCGTCTGGCCCATACATCAGAATTTAATTTTATCTCGAGTATACGTCCATGAAACTTAGCAGCTCGTGCCCTAAGGTGGCATCCACAAGCTGGTCAATTCTTGGCAGAGGAAAGATGTCTTTAGGGCAAGCCTTGTTGAGGTCGCTGAAGTCGACGCAGGTTCGCCACTTGCCATTTGGCTTCTTTACCAGAACCGGGTTGGCAACCCAGGTCGGGTAGAGCGCCTCTTGGATGGACCCATTTCGGAGGAGGTTTTCCACTTCTAATTTCAAGGCGGCATACCGCTCCGGATCCATTGCTCTTCTTTTCTGGCGAACTAGCTTTGCTTCGCTGTCGATGTTTAACGCATGGCAAATGATGTCCGGGCTGATCCCGACCATATCCACGTGCGACCAGGCAAACACATCGATGTTTTCTCTCAGGAAGCTTATTAGTTCGGACGCGAGCTGAGGGTTGAGACTGCTCCCGATTCTTAATACTCGACTCGGCTCAGCTCTTTCAAGTCGACTGATACCTCGAACAAATCCCCAACTGGGTCGCTGGAAGGGATTTCCTGAATTCGAGGATCCATATTATCCTCTGCTAGGCCAGGCTACTGCTCAATCTAGCTGATCGCCATAGCCTGTCGGGGCGTACTTCGCGAAATGCCCTTTCCTTTACATGCCATCTGCACCGCTTTTATGTAGTAGTCGCGAGGTGCGCTTTGCGATCCGTTCACTTCCCTTATCCCCGTTGGGGTGGGGAACTTCATCTTGAGACGGTATATGGAAGTGACTGCCTTGAAGCTTCTCAATAGAGGTTGCCCCAGGATTCCATTGAAGGCCGATGGGTAATCCATGACCAAGAATTCAGTTACCTTAGTCACCTCGTCGTAGTCACTCAGCGTGACTAAGAGTTTGATCGTTCATTTAGGGATCAGGTGGTCCCCTGTAAAGCCGTAAAGAGGGATCGATGCGGGCTTCAGGTCAGCCTCGTCCAGGTTCACTCTTTCGAAAGCAATCTGGAATAGAATGTTCACAGCACTTCTGTTGTCCACGAGCATTCTGCGGACGTTATGGTGCCCTATAAGGGGCATGATCACAAGGGCGTTGTCGTGAGGTTGATACAAGCAAGCTGCCTCATTCTCGCAGAAGGTGATCGGCTCCTCCTTTTGAGCCTTTTGTGGTCGCTGCCATGTGTTCATCACCCTGATCGGGTCGTGATAAGCTTCGCGAGCGTACCTTTCCTATGTATCTCGCGTGTTTCCTGTAAGGTGCGATCCTCCAAAGATTATGTTGACGCTACTATACCCTCTGCGATCACGACGCTTTTTCCTTTGTTCCTCTTGGCTCTTCTCTTTTGCAGGAGCGGAATCATCAATATACTCCTTGAAGTGCCTTTTCTTGATGAGCTCTTCGATTGCTTGTTTTAGAGCTCAGCACTCATCAGTATGATGCCCATTGTCCCAATGGAAGTGACAATATTTTTTGTTGTTTCTGACCGTTGCAGGAGTTTTCATGGGTTTCGGCTCACCGAGCAGACTGGCCTCCTCGGATTTATCAAGAATGGCAGATACAGACATATTTAGTGGAGTATATTGAATTCTATCGCGATTGTGACGAGGAACAAGAGCATATGACTTTTTGTGCTCGTAGCGGGGTTTCTTCCCTTTTCGCTGATCATCAGCGTCTCCTCTGCGATCAGCTCTTCTACTTTCCCCTCGACCAGACATGCTGCTTGAAGCGCAAGGGTCTCAACGGCGGAGTGTCGCCAATGAATTTTCTATTCGGAGGTACTTCTCCGCAAGGTTGTAGAATCCTGTGAGGGAAACATCATCCTCAGCTTGTAATTCTTTCCACAGGTCGGTTTGTGGGTGAACCCCGGCTATGATGAGAGTCCGAACAGACTCTTCAGGAGTATGAGCCACCTTGTTGAGTTCTCTATGGAAACGGTCAATGTAAGACTGGAGGGATTCATCCCTTTCTTGCCTTATATTGCTAAGGTAGCTCAAAAGCATCGAAAATTTCCGGTTCGCTTGGAAATGCCTTAGGAACGTCGTGCTCATCTGAGGCCACGAACTGATCGATCCCACTGGGAGTGACCTGAACCATCGCTTGGCATGGGAGGTCAATTTCACTGCTAGACAGCGGCATTTTGCCAAGTCTGAGACCTGGTAAAGCTCCATCAGGTCGTTAAATTCATATAGATGATCCTGCGGATCGGAATTTCCATCAAACGCCTACATGTCGGGCATCCTGAATCTCGGTGGGAGTGGAGCAGCTAACACTTCGGGAGAGAAGGGGGACGCAGATGCAACCTGTCCCTGCTCATTTTGCTGAGCCTTTAGCCTGTCTAGAGCTTGCTGCAGCTCCTCAATTTGCGACAATGGAGCCGCTTGGGGGTTGCTTTCACCCATGCGAGTTCGATTCTCGCAGTTACGATTGAGGAATGTCCGGAGGTCGGGTTCCTCTTCTCCTCAACCGGCGGTTCCAGCCACTCTCGACACAAGCTGACTAGAGGCGTGTAATGGCGATGAAAGGTGCGGGGTATTCTTACGACCTTCGCGGTGGTAAGAACTGCCCCGCGAAGTGTGGGACCCTCTCGCACGGTGACGACTAGGATTGCTTTGCTAACGGTGATAAGAATCGCCCTGTCCAGCACTTTTATGGGTGTGTACTTACGACGTGGCATGGGACAGCTCGGGCTGCGTCTTTTCACCGAGTCTCAATGAGACTGGTATTCTATTTGGGACGCAGTCGGTGTTTGCTGGCCCTTTGGAGCCCGTGGGCTTGCTTTTTGCCACTTGCTTACCCTTTCATCTACGCGCTGCAGTGCTCGCGGCACGGGCTATCTCCCTTTGCCGCGCTTTCGTGCGATCTGCAGACGTTTTTGGCGGTTGTACCGTCGTAGTTGACTTAGATGGCGTGCCTTGGTCCAAACGGTCCAACCTTTGGTTGACCGTCTGGAGAGTATTGTCAAACCTCTCCAGGTAGTTTCTTATAGCGGGGTCAAGCTGTGAACTTGACGGGATACCTCCCACGGCATTTTGCAGGGCTGAAGGTTTTTTGAAAGAAGTATCCCACTGAACTTGATATTTCTTAGATGAAAATGTTTGCTTCAGAAAATGACTGCATTGGATCATTATATAAATACGTATATAACCATTTTTCCAGGCTAATAATAACACTCTTTGGACCTCAAGTCCTTCACTAAAGCGAGTGTTAATATAGGGCCATGAATGGTAGCCGTTTACAGGGACGATTAACTTACAAAATTTCAACGGATTGTCACAAATTCGAAGCCAAAAGTCCTAAAATAAAAGTGTGGTACGTATATGGACAACAGACTAGCAACATAGAAGCTCCAAAACAATTTAAGGACTGAGGNGGGACCCTCTCGCACGGTGACGACTAGGATTGCTTTGCTAACGGTGATAAGAATCGCCCTGTCCAGCACTTTTATGGGTGTGTACTTACGACGTGGCATGGGACAGCTCGGGCTGCGTCTTTTCACCGAGTCTCAATGAGACTGGTATTCTATTTGGGACGCAGTCGGTGTTTGCTGGCCCTTTGGAGCCCGTGGGCTTGCTTTTTGCCACTTGCTTACCCTTTCATCTACGCGCTGCAGTGCTCGCGGCACGGGCTATCTCCCTTTGCCGCGCTTTCGTGCGATCTGCAGACGTTTTTGGCGGTTGTACCGTCGTAGTTGACTTAGATGGCGTGCCTTGGTCCAAACGGTCCAACCTTTGGTTGACCGTCTGGAGAGTATTGTCAAACCTCTCCAGGTAGTTTCTTATAGCGGGGTCAAGCTGTGAACTTGACGGGATACCTCCCACGGCATTTTGCAGGGCTGAAGGTTTTTTGAAAGAAGTATCCCACTGAACTTGATATTTCTTAGATGAAAATGTTTGCTTTAGAAAATGACTGCATTGGATCATTATATAAATACGTATATAACCATTTTTCCAGGCTAATAATAACACTCTTTGGACCTCAAGTCCTTCACTAAAGCGAGTGTTAATATAGGGCCATGAATGGTAGCCGTTTACAGGGACGATTAACTTACAAAATTTCAACGGATTGTCACAAATTCGAAGCCAAAAGTCCTAAAATAAAAGTGTGGTACGTATATGGACAACAGACTAGCAACATAGAAGCTCCAAAACAATTTAAGGACTGAGGTAACCTTTTCGCTGGCGACACTGATTAATAAACTTGGTTATCTGATTGAAAATTCTTCAGAATTTCAATCCTATCTGACTACAGTAATTGTTGAAACTAGGAACCTAAATAACCTCTCAAATTTTCCAGCAAGAACTGAATCCCAGACTATTCATTAGACTAGACCTGTACAGAATCTATATCCTTATTACGGTTCAACTTTGGATGGCCTTATTCATTTTTCATAGCAAATTACTTCTAGTACGAAAGAAATGTTAATTTTAGAAATAATTCCAATTTATTTGATTAATAATATCTCTTTCATTTTCCTTGTAATCATTCAGTTTTTAACAAAGCCTATGAGAGGAAAAAAAAAAAAAAAAAAATCTAGTCTGGGTTGTCAGCTAGGAGAAGACTTTTATGAAAGCTCTAAAGGACATTCTTTTCCAAAATTTATGCAGAAGGCAATTTTCTCTCTGAAATAATTATGGAGATCCTTTCATTCTTCACTTTCTTATTTTCTTTGACCCTTTTATCAACCTTGGAGTTATCATTTGCAGCTGATACGATAACTTCTGGACAATCTATTCGAGATGGTGAGACATTAACTTCGTCATCCCAGAGATATGAGCTAGGCTTCTTCTCACCAGGGAACTCAAACAACAGGTTCTTAGGAATATGGTACAAGATAACTCCTCAGGTAATTGTGTGGGTTGCCAACAGAAACAAACCCATTCCTGATAAAACCGGAGTTCTAACTATTTCCAGTAACGGAAGCCTTGTACTCATCGACGAAGGAAAGAGAATTCTCTGGTCCCCTAATTCATCAAGGATTCTAGCAAATCCAGAGGTACAACTCCTAGATTCTGGGAACTTTATCCTCAGGGAGAGTACTGACAGGAGTTCTGAGAACTACATGTGGCAAAGCTTTGATTATCCATCAGATACATTGTTAACAGGAATGAAGCTTGGATGGAACTTAAAAACCGGTTTTGAGCGATATCTTACATCATGGAGAAGTGTTGATGATCCATCTGCTACAGACTTTAGTTTCAGACTCGAGATTAATGACGCACCTCAATTATATATTAGCTCTTCGTCAAAAAAAGTGGCCCGCAGCGGACCATGGAATGGCGTGCAGTTTGGTGGTATTCCCATGACCCACAACAAGGTCTTCAAACTAATGGTGGTGCATAACGAAGATGAGTTGTATTACATGTATAAGCCTTTCGACGACACAGTTCTCACACGATTAATTGTGAATCAATCTTCCGGTACAATGCAACGTTTTGTTTTTAATCAGGGGAGCGGAGCATGGGAAATTCTGTACTCTTGGCCGTTTGACACATGTGACCATTTTGAGCAGTGTGGTGCTAACTCCAACTGCAGAACCAGCAGGACACCGATGTGTGAATGCTTGAAGGGGTTTGTGCCCAAATCACAAGATGACTGGGGCACACCTCAGACTACAACATGTGTAAAGAAATCACAAGAGTCAGATTGCCCCGATAGAGAAGGGTTTCTGAAGCTTGTTCGTATGAAAGTCCCTGATAATAATTGGTCCAACCAAAGTATGAATACTCAGGAATGTTGGGCGAAGTGCTTGAAGAATTGTTCTTGCATGGCTTATGCTAATTCAGATATAAGCGGAAAAGGTAGTGGTTGTTTGATGTGGTCTGGAGACCTGACTGATATAAAAGAATGTTCAGGAAGTTTCAGTTGGGGACAGGATTTATATATACGGGTTCCAGCTTCAGAACTAGGTAAGTTTTTTTCCTTTTTTATCACAACTAAATTAAATGCTAAAGTATTCCTGAAGGTTAGGTTTTGATGTACAGTTTATCAGTCTGAGAAATCTATATATATTTTTTTTTCAATTTGTTTCTTGCTTTATTTTTTATTTTTAAAATCTAAAGGATTGATCAAGTTTCTTGATGTTCTCTGCTCTAAAATCAGTTAATGATTCGCATAAAAGGAAAATAATAAAGATCGTCGTGGTGGTCTCAACCATTTGTTGCTTGTTAATATTGGGCTTTTTAGTCTACAAAGCTTGGAAGAAAACGAAAAGCAAAGGTAATACATTCATCACTCTTTGCAGATTTTAATTCTGATAAAGTCTGTATTAGCAGGAATATTATGAATAAAATTAAACAACCAGATCTGTCAAAGCTTTATTCAATTTTTCAGGGAGGTCTCTGTTGTTATTTGTGTTAAAAATCAATAAATAAATAAAAGTGATGTGTTTGTTCATGGTTGAGCAGGTAAGGAAGAAGTTCAAACTTTAATATGCGTGGAGAATAGGAAGGAGGACATAGAAGTACCTTTGTTTGATTTGGCTGCCATTGTTGCTGCTACTAACAATTTCTCCAAAGCCAATATGATTGGTGAGGGTGGATTTGGTCCTGTATACAAGGTAACAGAAATTTTATATGTTTGTGAAACTCTCAACAGAAATTTATATGGTATCTTGAACCTCTTGCTAAATTATGAATGGTCAACAGGGAACTCTTTTGGAGGGACAAGATATTGCAGTGAAGAGACTTTCGAAAAAATCAAGACAGGGTCTGGAAGAATTCAAGAATGAAGTAGCTTTAATTGGCAAACTTCAACACAGGAATCTTGTTGTGCTGGTTGGGAGCTGCGTTGAGGGAGACGAAAGGATACTGATCTACGAGTATATGCCCAATCAGAGCTTGGATTATTTTATTTTCGGTTAGCACATCTGGATCCTTTGCCCTTCTTGCTAGTTACACATATATTAGTTAAGCTTAAAGCCATTCATTATTATGCATTGTTTGAACTTACTTTCAAAATTAAAGTTACTGAAATTGGCAATCATGTTCAGATAAGGTAAGAAGGGAACTACTGTCATGGAAAAAGCGCTTTGAAATTGTTACTGGAATTGCACGGGGACTTCTCTACATCCACCAAGATTCTAAACTTCAAATCGTTCACCGAGATTTGAAGACGAGCAATATTTTGTTAGACAATAACTTGAATCCTAAAATTTCAGATTTTGGGTTGGCAAGAATTTTCAGAGGTGATGACACAGAAGTGAACACAAAGATAATCGTCGGGACATAGTAAGTTCTACTACTATAATCTATAATCATGTATATTCAAGTTGGAAGTTCTTATGCTCGTATAATTTGTTGTAGTGGCTACATGTCTCCCGAGTATGCAACGGAAGGTATATTCTCACTGAAATCTGATGTTTATAGCTTTGGAGTGCTTCTGATAGAGATAATAAGTGGAAAAAGGAATAAAGGGTTCTGTCACCTGGATCACCATCATAATCTTATCGGACATGTAAGTAGAACTGATAAGTCTGATATGCTTCTTCCTTTTTCACACACTATCCCTTTTGGTGAATAAATGAAGTATATGTGTTGTAATATTTTCAGGCCTGGTTGCTATGGAATGATGGAAGGACCCTGGAACTTATGGATAGGTGTTTAAAAGATTCTTACAACGAATCTCAAATTCAAAGATGTATTCAAGTGGGTTTATTATGCGTTCAGAAGTTCCCAGAAAACAGACCAGATATGTCGTCTGTAGTTTTTATGTTAGCAAATGAAGATGTAGCGTTGCCTCGACCAAGTGAGCCAGGTTTCTTCACAGAAAGAGGTCTCAGCACAGATACATCATCAAGTAAAGACACATCTAATACAGGAAATGCATTGAGTATAACCATTCCGGTAGGAAGATAGAATTTCATGCCGAAGTTTAATAGTAGTTTCCTGTTTGGGCATAGAGTAATTATGCAGATATGTTCTATTTGAATCATAAGCTTAAAGGACTTTATTGTCATTGAATAGTTTCTTGGAGATATTATACAAATGTTTGATGTAAAGTGGAGATTTGTTTCAGGGCAATTCTCGTAACAGTGATTGGTTATGTTATGCCTTAAAGTTAGTAAAATTATATATTTATATAGAAGGTTGAGTTGATTCTTAAAAGGAAAACTAGCCACTGACCTATGTGCTTAATTTCAGGCTGTTGCTCTTCCCTTTCTTAAGCCAGAAAGTGCATATTTTTTCAGACATGAAAGTGCTCTTTAACTATGCATGGTTAATGGATGAGCCCAAATAAAATATAAATGACTGGATAACCATTACGTAAAATTTTTCCTTCTTTAAGAAAGCTGGTCAACAATCCAAAATCACTTTTCATATTCTTATCTTTAATTGTTCCAAAGATGAGTTAAAAGGATTGATGCCGAAAGAAATGTTAGGAGTTGTATTTATTCCACATCACCAAATTGGTTGGTTAGGCTCCCTCTTCTCCTTAGCTAGCTTTTGAGGGTGAGTACTCACATTTGTTTAAGACGATGATTGGTTTGGACCTCAGTATTGCACACCGAGCATGAGAGAGAGTGTTATAACTTATAAGGTTGTATTTGTTTTACATTGCCAAGTTAATGGGTTGGGCTTCCTCTTCCCCTAAGCTAGCTTTTGAGTAGACCTGGCAAAACGGGTGAGTGGGCTGTTTTGGGGTTGGGTCAATAGGGGTACAGGTCTCACAGGTACGGGCCCAATATGGGTTGAGTTATACGTACGACTCTAAAATATTGGGCCCGTACTCTATCCTATGCGGGTATGGGTGGAGCTGCGGGTGCCCTTTTTTCTCTCTCTAGTTTTCATTTCTTGCAGTTTCACCCCTAATAGTTTTCAATTATGACAGTTACACCCCAAAATTTCTGTAGTTTTAATTTATCACAAAATTCACAATGAGTTCTTTTAGTTGCCTTGAAATGATCACCCATACCCAAATTTCATCAAGCAGCCAGTTTAGGATGCGTTTGTTTTAGTATTTTTGATAGTATTTTTGAAAAAGTAAGTGTTTGGTGGTTATTACGAGGTAGGATTTGAAAATTAACAAAAACACCCCATTAGATTTGTTAATTTACTAAACACCCATGTAATAAAACATTGAAAATTAACAAAAACACCCCCACCCACCGATTAAATACCGGCAACCGACCACCACTAACGGAGGGTGGCCGAAGTTGTCGTATAGGCGCATGACTGACAGGATCTGGCCGATTTGCGTCGATATGACATTTTCCAACTAGATCCACCATGGATTTGGCTGAAAGGACAGATCTACGACTAGATATGGCCATTGACAGCCACATCAACGACGGCCACATCTTGGTCATCGTTGACGACTAGCTACAGCCAAAGATTTAACCGTCAATCTTTGGCCGTAGATCTGACCTTTTTTACCAGCTCCATGGTGGATCTGGCCGAAAAAGTCTAAATCAGTGCACTACTGATCATATCCAGCCGGTAGTGCGCCATTATACCAGATTCCGGCCATCTTTTGACGATGGTGGCTGGAATCTAGCAAATGTGGATGGGTGGAGATGTTTTTGTCAATTTCTAAACTTTTTTTTTTTGGAGGTGTTTAGTTAAATTAACGAACTTAAGGGGTAAAAAAATAATTGAATAAAATATAATAATATTTTCAAAATAGGGAAACAAATGTGTATTTTGGAAATAATAGGAATATGGCAAAAATAGGGAAACAAACGCACTTTAAATATTTTGATATTAAATTGAAAACTCAAAAGCACTTCGCAACAGCTCCGCACTAAAAGATGGGTATGTTCATTCATATGACAGGAGATAATTTATGCTCTTAATTATAGGTAATGCTATTCGTACAAACTCTTATACAAAGAGAGTTTGTACAAAGTGATATGGCACATCATGTGAGTGTCACGTGACACAAGGACCCACATAACATTAATATGACATTAAGTTACGTGGGTCCCAATGCTATTTGTACAAACTTTCTTTGCATAAGAGTTTGTACAAATTGACATGGCATGTCACAAAGCATGCCATGTGGCATTAGGACCTACGTAATTTAATGTCACATTAATGTTATGTGGGCTCTCATGTCATGTGACACTCACATGATATGCCACGTCACTTTGTACAAAGAGTTTGTACAAATAGCTTTACCCCTTAATTATTCGTTGTTTTGAGTCTAAATCCTGCAATCTCTATTCTCCAAAAACCCTCCTTAATTAGCAACCATGATTAATTAACTTAATTGTTTTTCTTCTTTGTGCACACAACAATCAAGTGAATTAACTTGTGTATTATCTCATAGGCAAAGAGTCACAATCAGTCAATCATAAAGCAAAGAGTCACAATCACAAAGGCAATTAAAGTCAAACTTTTCACTCGTAGCCTCATAGGTGTCACAATCACAAAGCCCATTATTGCCCGTTTCATGGGCATCCTCCGTCAATGGTGGTATAATCTTGGCCAATTTCGACAACTCCAAGTTGTCCAGGTCACTTCTCTCGAACAGTTTGCTGGCTTTTTGGTTCAAGAATTTATTGGTGATAATCGAAATCACCAGGACCTACTCAGAGAAGAATTTTTTAAGCTTTTAGATCAAACTTGGAGAAGACTCTGGCATTGGTAAGGTAGCCAAAGAGAAAATCCTTTCTGGGGAGAGGAAACTTAATATCTACCAGAAACCAATTTAATGGTTTGTAGTTGATAACAAGACGAAGTTTTCCTCTAACTTGTTACAGTGGCGCCTGCCAAGGCAGGCTTGTTGAGCCGCAGCCTCTCCTAGATTCTGAAAAGGAGGACTTTGTAACAAATGGGCCTTCATTCAACATTTTCAACAAACAGGCAGAACTATTGAAAAATCATGTAACCGGCCCAATTAAACTCAGCAAGTAAAGTTCGAAACTTTATTTCCATTTCAGACTCTTCCGTCAAACCCAAAACAGGGAAATACAAACACACACAAAGCATTTGCGCTTGCTCTTGCTGGTGGTGGTGGTGGTACTCACCGGAGACAGAGACATTCCAACAACAGTCCATGAAAGTTACTTTAGTGACAAAATCAAGAGAAAAACAAAAAAAGAAAAAGACTTTGGATTGAGGAAGACAGAGGTCAGTGGGTGAGTCATGAGTGTGAGAGTGAGTGAGTTTACAACCTGGATAAGCGGGATTGATTTTGTGTGGTGGAGAGTCTGGAGACTGTCGACGGCCAACGTGGAGTTGCGTTAAAGAAGAAGATTTGCGTTTGCAGGATTTTTTGGGAGAGGAGTTGCGTTAGAGAAGAATGAAGATCAGAAGAAGACGGCCAGGAGAATGAGTGAGTTAGGATTTGGAAATGAAGAAAGAAGAAGACTAGTCTGGGGTGGGAAACACGATAACAAAGTTACAAAGGGGATTTTTTTTTTTTTAGAAAAAAAGGGTACCCTTGGACACTTGGGATAACCTGTTGGAAATACAGTGGTCTGATAAAAACAGGTCTAATTTCATGAACCATACCCTATATAATTTTCTCAGATTTAGGGTACTTGTGGGTTTAGACCCATTTGTCAGGTCTATTTTTGAGTTTAAATCCTACCCAAACCCGTTTATCAAGAAAAAAAAAAAAAAAAAAAAAAGGGCATCATAACAATTAAACAACCAAACGGCATTGGGCCCTGATTTTCAGAATACAAAGAATTATGTCCTCAGGTCGCCACTTTGTAAAAATCAAAGCTCGTACACATGGATGTACGTGTAAATGAAATCAAGTAACTGAGTTCTTCTTTTACAGGACAACTTTAATTATACTTCTCTTGACTTAAATTCTATATCACAACCTGGGAATAGCGAAATTTGTTAAATTTAGTTGCCAGGAGAACATCTTTTAGATTTTATTTTGCTTCTTTAGATACAGTTCGAAATTTCCAGGGTCCGTAAATAGTGGAGCTGGATGTGACCAATATTTAGATCAAACAACCAGAAACTGAACCAAGTGTGAACGCTGTATCATGAGAAAAAGTGTAACAAGATCATTGATAGCATGAAAATCACTACATGTCGAAATAAAACCAAAATGTATATAAAAATGATTCCAAAAGGTAAAGATTTCAATTAAAACAAAATAATAAATTATGCATATACCTACCGTTCAGCCATTAACAAGATTTAACAAAATTTACTATTCCACTCACCTCTTTCCTTCCCCTAGCTCAATGCTCGAGTCTTGGCTCCTCCTCTCTCTTCTCTTCTTTACCAAATTTCACTCAATCCTTCTTCTCTCTCCTTAATGCTCTCGGCACTCCTCTAAAATTGCCTCCAATTTCACTTCTTCAATTTTTTGTTGCAAATGAACTAAAATTGCGTTTACATATAACACTTCCCTAGAACATTTCACTTAGTCCAAAGTCCCTCGGAATTTTTGCACCTTCTAGGAATCCACTATCACACTTCACCCCCTAAAATATAACAAATGTTTTGACATGTCCAAATCACCACTTGGCAAAAGCATCACCTCTATTTGGCAAATTTCTTTGAAAACCCTTCATCTTTTGATACCTATTTGCCCCCAATTTCTACCTCTTCTTGCACTCAAGTCCCCTTGCCAAATACTTAATGATCCTACCAGTTCTTATTTCCTTAGCACGACACCCTGGCAAGTTTTAATTTCTTTCAATTTACCACTCATATAGAAAAATCAATTATTATACTTTAATAAAGGAAATATTGAGGAATTTCAAATTTACTGTCCCATATATATTGGAAGGTAATCAATTGCTGATCGATTAGCTAATATGGGTTACGATCTTCCCTTACGGAATGATGGGTTGAACCTCTTTGGATATTCGTATATGCTTCTTCAAGATTGTTGGGGGTTTCTAGTTAGATACTTATTCTTTTTTTTTTTTTTTTTTTTTTTTTCAATAATACTACCCCTAATCTTTTAGGTTTGCTTAAAAAAAAAAAAAAAAAAACATCGTTAATACTCTTATCTTGATAGAAACCTCATAATGTTTCCGCATCACAAAGTCTTTGACTAAAGGGAGTATGACTTTGGCACCATGAATGGCATTATTTACAGAAAGGAAATGTTGAAATTTCAAAGGATTGTCACAAATTTGTAGGCAAAATTCCTAAAAATAACAGTGCCTTATGACCACAGACAGTGACATAGAAATTCTAAGAAGTTACCGGACTTAGTTAAGGTTTATGGTGGATGACACTATTTAATAAACTTAGTTGGTTACCTCTTTAAAATTCTTCAAAATTATCAGCTCTATCTGACTACAAAATTGCTGATACTATATAGTTTGAAACGGCAGACAGACTTAGTAGTGTTCCGGATTGGTACAAAGGGTTAGGTGACACATAAATAACTTGTCAATTTTTTCCAGCAAGAACTGTATCCTGGACCATTCAATTGATTAGCCCCGAACAGATTCTTTATCCTATACCCAATTCCAGGTCAGCTTTGGATGCCCTTTGTTGATTTTTCATAGTTATTGGTCTATTTGAAGCTATTTTAATCATAGAAATATTCCATGTCTTGGATCGATGACATCCATCTCATTTTCCTTGTAATTATTCAGTTTTCAACAAAGCTTATCAGTAGCCAAAAAAAAAAAAAAAAAAAAAATCAAGTCTAGGTGGTCAACTATGTGAAAACTTATGAAAGGTTTTAAAAATATTTTCTTCCGCATGAAAGCAATTTGATTTTTTTTTTTTTTTTTTTTTCCTCTGAAATAAGAATGGGGAGCCTTCCATTCTTCGCTTCCTTTTGCACTTTATCTTTTTTTTGTCAATCTTGGAGTTCTCATCTGCAGCTGAAAGAAACTTCCGGACAGTCTATCAAGACGATGAGACCTTAATCGTTGTCCCAAAGATTTGAGCTAGGATTCTTCTACCAGAAACTCAAAAAACAGGTACTAGGGATATGGTACAAAATGACTCCTCAGGAAGTTGTGTGGGTTGCCAACAGAAAAATCCCATACCTGTAAAACCGGAGTTCTGACTATTTCCAGTAACGGAAGCCTTCTACTCATCACGAAGCTCAAGCATTTTCTGGTCGTCTAATTCATCATGGATGCCTGCAAATCCAGAAGCACAACTCCTAGATTCCGGGACTTTGTCCTCAGAGACGTAATGACAGGAGTTCTGAAAACTACATCTGGCAGAGCTTTGATTACCCATCAGATACTTGTTAACAGGCATGAAGCTAGGGGAATTTAAAGACTAATTTTCAGCGGAATCTAACTCATGGAGAAGTGCTGATGATCCATCCCCGGAGAATATAGCCTCAAACTCAGGCCGATGATGTACCTCAGTTAGTCCTTGTCTCTCGATCAAAATAGTGCGCGCAGTGGGCCTTGAATGGCCTTCGTTTGGAGGTTTCCCATGATGCAAAACTATGTCTTCAAACCAAAGTTGGTGCATAACGAAGATGAGTTGTACTACATGTATGACCCTTTCAACGACACAGTTCTCACTCGATTGACAGTTAATCAATCAACCGGAAAAATGCAGCGTTTTGTTTCGAATGTGGGCAGCAAGAATGGGATATCTCTACTCTTGGCCATTTGACTTATGTACAATTATGAACAGTGTGGTGCTATAGTTACTGCAGAGTCGGCGGCTACCATGTGTGAGTGTTTGAAAGGATTTGTAACCAAGCCACAAGAGAATGGGTACACCTCAGACCACAACATGTGTAAAGAAACCCCAGTAGGATCAGATTGCCGAATGGAGAAGGGTTTCTGAAGCTTGCTCGTATGAAATTGCCTGATGATAACTGGTCCAACCAAAGTATGAATACTAAGGAATGCCGGCCGAGTGCTGAAGAATTGTTCATGCAGGCTTATGCGAATCAGAATAAAGGGAAAAGGTAGTGGCTGTTGATGTGGTTTGGGACCTGCTGATATGAAAGAATGTTCAGCAGGTATCAGTTGGGACAGGATATATTTATAAGGGTTCCAGCTCGAACTAGGTAAGTTTTTCAAATTTCTTTTTGATTTACAGTTGAACAAGCGCAATGTAAAAGCATTCCTCTGTTTCTTATTCTGTCTTTGATTTTAAAAATATAGAACTTAATAAGTTCCAAAGGTTTGATCAAGTTTCCTGATGTTTTGTGTTCTAAAACAGTTAATCATTCCTATAAAAAGAAAATAATGATGATCGTCGTGACGGTGGTCTCGATCATTTTTTGCATGTTTCTATTGGGCCTTTTAGTCTACAAAGCTTGGAAGAAAACGAGGAGCAAAGGTAATACATTCTTCAATCTTGTTGATTTTAACTCGGAAAAAGTTTATTGACCTCCCTCAAATGGACTAGGTAAATTTTGAAATTGTTAGAATTGTATCATACAATTCTGAAATTCATTAGCAACCTCCTTGGCAGGAATGTTATGAATAAATTAAGCACTCAGATCTGTCCATGTTTTATTCAAATTTCCAGGGAGGTCTTTGTTGTTATTTATGTTAAAACTCAATAAAATAAATAATGATGTCATGGTTCATTGTTGAACAGGTAAGGAAGAAGTTCAAACTTCAATAAACATGGAGAATAGGAAGGAGGATATAGAAGTACCTTTGTTTGATTTGGCCACCATTGTTGCTGCTACTAACAATTTCTCCCACGCCAACATGATTGGTGAGGGTGGATTTGGTCCTGTTTACAAGGTACTACAAATTCTATTGTAAGTAGAAACTCTCAACAGAAAGGAATATGTCATATTGAACCTCTAGCTAATCAATGATTGGAGTAACATGGATTATCTCTATGACAAAACACAGGGAACACTTTTGGACGGACAAGAAATTGCAGTAAAGAGACTTTCGAAAAAATCAGGACAAGGTCTGGAAGAGTTCAAGAATGAAGTAGAGTTAATTGGAAAACTTCAACACAGGAATCTTGTTGCACTTGTTGGCGGCTGCATTGAAGGAGATGAAAGGATGCTGATCTACGAGTATATGCCCAACAAGAGCTTGGATTATTTTATTTTCGGTTAGCACATCTGGATCCCTTGCCCTTCTTGCTCGTTACACATATTTTAGTGCTCAAGCTTAAAGCTATTCATTATTTTGCATTTGTTTGAACTTACTGCAATTGAAACTTAGAGAGCAACAGGTCTAACTGTCAAACATACTGAAGTCGGCAATGGTGTGCAGATAAGGAAAGAAGGGAACTACTGTCATGGAAAAAGCGCTTTGAAATTATTATTGGAATTGCACGTGGACTTCTATACCTCCACCAAGATTCTACACTTAAAGTAGTTCATAGAGATTTGAAGACAAGCAATGTTTTGTTAGACAGGGACCTGAATCCTAAGATTTCAGATTTTGGTTTGGCAAGAATATTCGGGGATGATGACACAGAAGTAAGCACAAAGAGAGTCGTTGGAACATAGTAAGTTCTACTACTACTATAATTTGTAAATTGTAAACATGTGTATATACAAGATAAAAGTACTTATGCTTGATAATTTGATACAGTGGCTACATGTCTCCTGAGTATGCCACGGAAGGGATATTTTCATTGCAATCCGATGTTTACAGCTTTGGAGTGCTTCTGCTAGAGATAATAACTGGAAAAAGGAATAAAGGGTTTCGTCATATTGATCACCATCATAATCTCATTGGACATGTAAGCAGAAAAAATACATCCTGCTTCCTTTTTCACACATTGTCCATTTTGGTGAAAAAATTAAGCATACGTGTTGAAATATTTTCAGGCCTGGCTGTTGTGGAATAATGGAAGGGCCCTGGAACTAATGGATAGGCATTTAGAAGATTCTTTCATAGAATCTAAAGTCCAAAGATGTATTCAAGTGGGTTTGTTATGTGTGCAAAAGTTCCCAGAAAACAGACCAGATATGTCATCTGTGGTTTTCATGTTAGCAAATGAAGAGGTAGCACTGCCTCGACCTAGAGAGCCAGGTTTCTTCACAGAAAGAGGTTTCAGCACAGATACATCATCAAGTAAAGAAACAGCTAATACACAAAATGCATTGAGTATAACCATCCCGGAAGGAAGATAGAATTTCATGCCCCAGTTTAATAGTTATTTTCTGTTGGAGCATGCAGTAACTATGCATATATTTTATCTTTGCATCATAAGCTTTAAGGACTTCATTGCCATAGAATAATTTCTTGATGTACAAATGTTTCCATAATGCTTTAAAATGGAGACTCGTCTCAATTCTGTAATTTATTATGTGTCAAATTTAGCAAAGCTATAATATTATAGGATTGAATTGTATCTTAAAACTACAGACCTGTACTTTAATTTCAGGCTTTTACTCTTCCTTTTCTCCTCTTTTAGCCACAGTTTTTTCTTTCCTCTCATGAAAACTTTCTAATTATACATGAGTAATGGCTTTCATTAAAGTACAACATGAACCCAAATAAAACATAATTACAGAAAGTTTTTCTTTCTTTGTTTCTTTTAAAAAAAAAAAAAAAAAAAGCATTATAACAACCAGCAACCATACGGCAGTAAGGTTCAATTTCAGAATCCAAAGAATTTGTTATGATCTCAGGTCACAACTTCGTAAGAAAAATCAAAGCTTCATAAACATGGATGGCACTTGTGAAGTAGAACAAAGTAAATTGGTACTTCTGATGCAAAACAAATTTAGTTATACTTCTCTATTACTTTAATATCTATTACATACAACCAAGGAACAGGGAAATTGGTTAAATTAGTTGCCAGGATTAGTGCTGGTCAAGGACTAGTCCCAAGCAGGCCCAGGCCTGGGCCTGTTTGGGACTGGTCCCATCGCTCATGGACTTGAGACTGGTCCTAGGCCCATGAGAAACATGAGGACCCGGACTAGACCTTAGGAGGATAATTCCCCCCTTCCTCCCCCCTCCACAACACATCTTTTTTTATATTTTAGGGACAAAATGAAATTTTATAGGGGGTTTTTAGTATTTTTTAGGGGTTGATTAGTAAGTTTCTAAAAATTTAATTAATTTGAAAAAATAATAAATTAATAGTTAATTCTAATTTTTAACATAAATGTAATATTCACATTTCACACATTCACGCTTCACAAATAAACAATTAAATAATTTTTTTATTAAATTATTCATCTTCAATTTCATCGTCAACAATAGTTACATCATTCAAATCTGTATTCCTAAAGAGTTCAAGTAGTTCGGGATCTTCAGGATGCTGTTGTAGTCTTCTTTCTGCATGAGTCCAATCCCATAAACACTTTATTACTTCAATCATCTCATCGGTTAAAGAACATCTTCTGTCTTCAACAATTTGACCACTCGTTGAAAATGTTGACTCGGATGCAATTGTAGAAACCGGCATAGATAAAATGTCACATGCCATTTGGGATACAATGGGGAATCGACTTTCATGTTGGTTCCACCATTGAAGAATATCTATGTCAAGTTGCTCCTTCATCGTCATAAACGTTAGGTCCAACTGTAGGTAGCGATTCAGCTCATTTGGTACATGTATGTACGAGCTGGAGCTTCCACCACGTTCCACATACGTCCACTTGCTTGATCCTTGACGGAGGGCTGAATCAAGGTCCTGATCCTCTCTCCTGAACGTTCCTTTTCCACTTCTACTTCCATTGTACCTGTTCTCATATAAAGAAAAAAGTCTATCCAATTTTTGTTTAAAGTTAGTCAAAAAAGACGTATAATCATGTCCTAAATGCTGGCTTAACTCAGTAATTACACCGTTAACTATGTGTAATTTAAACCTAGGATCTAGAAAAAGGCCTAATTCATATAAGAATGGAATATCTAACCAATATTTCTGATATTTTTCTTCTATCTTTAAAACAATTTCCCTTAAAACGTTATTATATCTATATTTAGCAAAAGTTATAGCAATTTGAAGTAAAATATCTAACACTAAATTAGTAATCGGATAATAAATACCACTTAATGTATTAGTAGCATCATAAAAATTTTTAAAAAATGAATAAAAAAGTTCACAAACCGCCCAATCATCATAGCTGACAACTTCCTCTAGATAGTGCTTTCGGTTGACGAAATCTGTAATTTGTTTCGCAGTTGGCAAAGCTTTTTCCAACATCAAGTAGGTGGAGTTCCAACGGATAGGCATGTCCGTACATAACTTCAAAGGTCGAACCGGTGGCTCTTCTTGCTTACAATATTTGACGTACTCCTGCCATCTTTTATTGCCTCCGCTGACGATAAATCCGATAGCTGCACACACCCTCTCCATGTTCGAATGTATAGCATCTAAACCTGCTTTAACTATTAAATTGATGATGTGACAAGCACATCTCTGGTGAAAAAAATTGCCTACACCACGTAGATCCAATCTCTTTTCAAATAAAGAGATTGTCGCGGTGTTAGCAGCTGCATTATCAAGCGTTAGCCCTACAACTCTATCAGTTAATAAATTTTCTTGCAAAACTTCAAGAATTGTAAAATAAATAGTTTTAACACCTTTTTTTTTCTTCATATAATGGTTTAAAACCTATCAATTTTTGTTGTAAACCCTAATTATGATCTAAGAAATATACTGTGACAGTTAAAAAATCACCAAAAAAACAGGTACTTAGGGATATGGTACAAAATGACTCCTCAGGAAGTTGTGTGGGTTGCCAACAGAAAAATCCCATACCTGATAAAAACGGAGTTCTTGCTATTTCCGTAACGGAAGCCTTCTACTCATCAACGAAGCTCAGAGCATTTTCTGGTCGTCTAATTCATCATGGATGCCTGCAAATCCAGAAGCACAACTCCTAGATTCCGGGAACTTTGTCCTCAGAGACGGTAATGACAGGAGTTCTGAAAACTACATCTGGCAGAGCTTTGATTACCCATCAGATACGTTGTTAAAAGGCATGAAGCTAGGATGGAATTAAAGACTAATTTTCAGCGGAATCTACATCATGGAGAAGTGCTGATGATCCATCCCCGGAGAATATAGCCTCAAACTCGAGGCTGATGATGTACCTCAGTTAGTCCTTGTCTCTCGATCAAAAATAGTGGCGCGCAGTGGGCCTTGGAATGGCCTTCAGTTTGGAGGTATTCCCATGATGCAAAACTATGTCTCAAACCAAAGTTGGTGCATAACGAAGATGATTGTACTACATGATGACCCTTTCAACGACACAGTTCTCACTCGATTGACAGTTAATCAATCAACCGGAAAAATGCAGCGTTTTGTTTCGAATGTGGCAGCAGAGAATGGGTATTCTCTACTCTTGGCCATTGACATATGTGACAATATGAACAGTGTGGTGCTAATAGTTACTGCAGAGTTGGCGGGCTACCATGTGGTGTTTGAAAGGATTTGTAACCAAGCCACAGACGAATGGGGTACACCTCAGACCCCAACATGTGTAAAGAAACCACCAGTAGGATCAGATTGCCGGAATGGAGAAGGGTTTCTGAAGCTTGCTCGTATGAAATTGCCTGATGATAACTGGTCCAACAAAGTATGAATACTAAGGAATGCCGGGCCGAGGGCTGAAGAATTGTTCATGCAGGGCTATGCGAATTCAGAATAAGGGAAAAGGTAGTGGCTGTTTGATGTGGTTTGGGACCTGGCTGATATGAAAGAATGTTCAACAGGTATCAGTTGGGGACAGGATATATTTATAAGGGTTCCCGCTCAGAACTAGGTAAGTTTTAAATTTCTTTTTGATTTACAGTGAACAAGGCGTAAAAGCATTCTCTGTTTCTTATTCTGTCTTTGATTTTAAAAATATAGAACTTAATAAGTTCCAAAGGTTTGATCAAGTTTCCTGATGTTTTGTTTCTAAAACAGTTAATCATTCGCATAAAAAAAAATAATGATGATCGTCGTGACGGTGGTCCATCATTTTTTGCTGTTTCTATTGGGCCTTTTAGTCTACAAGCTTGGAAGAACGAGGAGCAAAGGTAATACATTCTTCAATCTTGTTGATTTTAACTCGGAAAAAGTTTATTGACTCCTCAAATGGACTAGGTGAATTTTGAAATTGTTAGATTTTATCATACAATTCTGAAATTCATTAGCAACTCCTTAGCAGGAATGTTATGAAAATTAAGCAATCAGATTGTCCATATTTTATTCAAATTTCAGGGAGGTCCTTGTCATTTTGTTAAAACTCAATAAAATAAATAATGATGTATGGTTCATTGTTGAACAGGTAAGGAAGAAGTTCAAACTTCAATAAACATGGAGAATAGGAAGGAGGTATAGAAGTACCTTTGTTGATTTGGCCCATTGTTGCTGCTACATACAATTTCTCCCACGCAACATGATTGGTGAGGGTGGATTTGGTCCTGTTTACAAGGTACTCAAATTCTATTGTAGTAGAAACTCTCAACAGAAAGGATATGATATTGAACCTCTAGCTAATAATGTTGGAGAACATGGATTATCTCTATGACAAACACAGGGAACACTTTTGGACGGACAAGAAATTGCAGTAAAGAGACTTTCGAAAAAATCAGGACAAGGTCTGGAAGAGTTCAAGAATGAAGTAGAGTTAATTGGAAAACTTCAACACAGGAATCTGTTGCACTTGTTGGCGGCTGCATTGAAGGAGATGAAAGGATGCTGATCTACGAGTATATGCCCAACAAGAGCGGATATTTTATTTTCGGTTAGCACATCTGGACCTTGCCTTCTTGCTCGTTACACATATTTAGTGCTCAAGCTTAAAGCTACATTATTTTGCATTTGTTTGAAATACTGCAATTGAAACTTAGAGGCAACAGGTCAACTGTCAACATACTGAAGTCGGCAATGGTGTGCAGATAAGGAAAGAAGGGAACTACTGTCATGGAAAAAGCGCTTTGAAATTATATTGGATTGCACGAGGACTTCTATACCCACCAAGATTCACACTTAAAGTAGTTCATAGAGATTTGAAGACAAGCAATGTTTGTGTAGACAGGCCTGAATCTACAGATTTCAGATTTTGGTTTGGCAAGAATATTCGGGGATGATGACACAGAAGTAAGCACAAAGAGAGTCGTTGGAACATAGTAAGTTCTACTACTACTATAATTTGTAAATTGTAAAAATGTGTTTTACAAGATAAAGTACATGCTTGATAATTTGATACAGTGGCTACATGTCTCTGAGTATGCCACGGAAGGGATATTTTCATTGCAATCCGATGTTACAGCTTTGGAGTGCTTCTGCTAGAGATAATAACTGGAAAAAGGAATAAAGGGTTTGTCATATGTCACCATCATAATCTCATTGGACATGTAAGTAGAAAAAATACATCCCGCTTCCTTTTCACACATTGTCCATTTTGGTGAAAAAA